CCAATCTACATTTTTAAAAACTTAAGCTTCTCGTTAATGGTGATATATAATTAAGATATTAAATTGTAATTGTCCTTAAGGGATATCTAAATAGTATTAAACAGTCTATATATATATATCAAAAAAAATCAATATTATATAACAGCTGGGACTAAAAATAACAAAAAAAAGAGACGGTATCTAAAAAAGCATTAAACTTAATTAATAAATTTAGAAAAAGAAAATTGAAGAGATAACCAATAATAAGGCTGATGATTTGAATTGTAATGATGAGCCCGAACCTTCATAACTTTGAATAGCTGGAACTGTACTAACTGATGGGTTTGAACCACTTGGTGTTGAATTTGATTGAGTAGCAATGGTTGGGGCTGGGGCAGATGAGTTTGAACCTGATGTAGTTGGACTTGAGGAAGCTGGAGCAGATGGGATTGATGAGGTTGATTGAGTTGATGGAGTTGATGGAGCTGATGGGGTTGAGCTACCTTCAGTTGGAGTTGATGGGTTTGATGGTGCACTTGATGATGGAGCTTTTGGTTCTTCACCTGATGTTGATTCTTTTGGAGAAATTGATCCACTTGGTGTAGTAGCAGTAGCAGTAGTTGAAACATCATTTGAATGGAACTTGGTGGTTGTAATTGTAACAATTGAATTACCTGAACGTGTAGTGTAAAAAGTAACAATTTCATCAGTTGGAGTTGATGGAGTTTCAGTAGTACTTGTAAGAACTTCTGGGACACCATTTGAGCCAGTAGAAGTAATGATACTAGTGAATGATGAAGCTGGGGTTGATTTGGATTCAACTGATGATGATGATGGTTCAACTGGTTGAGATGATTGAGAAACTGGTGATGATGATGGTTCAATTGGTTGAGATGATGGCTCAACCGGTTGAGATGATTGAGGAACTGTTGATGATGGAGTAACAACTGAAGTGACAACAGTAGATGAACCTTCACAAGATGGACATGGAACAGTTGAAATAACAGTGGATTCAGTTGAAACGTAAACAATAGATGATGATGGGTTCTTTGGTGATTCTGAGTTGAAATGTGGAACATCAACGTCAACAGTAATTGTTTTATCACCAGATGAATAAGGAGCAGTAGTGGTGGTAGTGTAAGATTGATCCCAAGTTGAAGTGGTGGTAGTGGTGGTTGTTGATTCTTCTGGTGAGCCTGGAATTGATGATGGGGCAGATGAATATGGAACATCAACATCAACAGTGATTGTTTTATCACCTGATGAGTGTGGAGCAGTAGTGGTGGTAGTGTATGATTGATCCCAAGTTGAAGTTGTAGTGGTAGTTGTTGATTCTTCTGGTGAGCCTGGAATTGATGATGGGGCAGATGAATATGGAACATCAACATCAACAGTGATTGTTTTATCACCTGATGAGTGTGGAGCAGTAGTGGTGGTAGTGTATGATTGATCCCAAGTTGAGGTGGTGGTAGTTGTAGTTGATGGCTCAACAAATGAACTTGATTCTGGAGCTGATGAATATGGAACATCGACATCAACAGTAACTGTTTTATCACCTGAAGAGTATGGAGCAGTGGTAGTTGTAGTGTAAGATTCTGACCAAGTTGCAGTAGTTGTGGTTGTGGTTGATTCTTCTGGAACTGGAACATCAACATCAACAGTAATAGTCTTATCACCTGAAGAGAATGGAGCAGCAGTTGTTGTAGTGTAAGATTCTGACCAAGTTGAAGTAGTTGTAGTTGTAGTTGATGGTTCAGCAGATGAGGTCGAGCTTGATGATTCAATAGATGAACTTGAGCTTGATGATTCAATAGATGAACTTGAGCTTGATGGTTCAGCAGATGAGCTTGAACTTGAAGCTGGAATTGAACTGCTGATGATTGAGCTTGAACTTAAACTTGAAATTGGAGCAGATGAACTTAAGCTTGTTATTGGAGCAGATGAACTTGAGCTTGAGCTTGAAGCAGATGAGCTTGAGATTGGAGCAGATGAGCTTGATGATGGAGTTTGTGATCCTGGAACATCAACATCAACAGTAACAGTGCTATCAGTAGCTGTATGTGGACGGGTGGTGGTTGTAGTGTATGATTCAGACCATGTAACAGTTGTAGTGGTGGTGGTTCTAATGATTGGGGTAGCTGTAGCACTACCATGTCTTGTAGTAATAGCAATATCTTGGTAATAATTATCACTTGTTGTTTTATCATTTGAACATTTGATATCATATTCAACTTTATTTTTCAAAGTAAGAGCAACTGAATCTTGGAATTGGAAAACAGTAATGAAAATTCTATAACCAGCTGGAACATCAGTGTAATTGAATGATAATTGATCTTCTTGACAAGAGTATTCAAAATCTGGTTCTTTGTATGATTTAGGGAATAACCAATCATTTAAATCATTTGTAATAAAGACTTGAGTGGTATCATCACATTTGATTTGACCTCTACCTGGGAAATCAGCACCAAAATCAATAGTAACTTCACCTGATTGAGAAGCACCTTCATCACAAGCTGGCAATAAGAAATTATCTTCAACGGAGTTATAATCAGTAGTGTGTGAGAATGGATAAATACCATTGGTATAGTCAGTAGCAGCTAATGTAATAGTATCAGATAATTTACCCCAAGTAATGGTGTTTTGACCTTTCTTAAAAGCTTTAGCAGCTTGAATTTCAACATCAGCAGTACTACCACCAACACCAAAGAAAACAGTAAATTCAAAATCACCACTAATAGAATCAAAATCTTTCAAACCATCACCAACATTACAGGTTAAAGTTGAATGATCATAACGATAAGAACCTGATTGTTTGTAACATGTGAATAAAGTTTTACCATCTGAAGTAGCATCTAAAGTATCATCATCACTGTTGAATTTCATACGGTAAACATTTGGTAATTCTAATGAGAAATCATCACCAGCATCATATTTGGAAGTATCTTCAAAATTAAAACCAAGTTTAGCAGTCCATGGAGATAAAGGTTTATTGTCACCTCTTTGACTTGATAATGAAAGACTTGTGAAGATATCATCAGCATCAGCAGCTGATGTTAATTGAACCAATAAAATAAATGAAAATAAATAATGTAACATTTTATAAGCGAATGTGATGGTTATTTGATGAAGGATTAAAACAGATTCAAAACTAAAATGAATGAAGGATTCAAACCCTTTATATAATTTTTATTCTATTTTACCTCAATTCAATGAAGCATGTTATATCCAACTGTAAATAAATCATGATGAAACAAATCTTCATTTCAGCATCTGTTGTTGACATTTCTAGTTTGGATGACATGTTGTCTTGAGATTTTGATGAATGTTTTTGAGGAGACGATTGAATATAATTTATGCCCTAGGTAAAATCACAAAATTAAGTAGTCAATTTTTACCTGAGAAGATAGCGATAAAGACCATTGAGTTCACCATGAAATTCTGATTAAACATCATCCTCCAAAATAACAATTATCATACCTCAACGTCTTGCTATGTTTGACTTTCCATGATCATCAACCTTATCCATCACACCAAAACATATACACATCCGTAAATAACATGTTGATATTAACGAGAAAAAGCGAGCCTCATTGATGTGAAGATGTCTTAACTGCATTCAGTAATACCCTTAAGCGACATGGAAAATGCATAAGAAACTTCCATGACATTGAATAAACTTCCTTATTAGGCCTCCAATGACACAAAATTGATGTAGGATCTCAATTCCCGAGCAGCAAAAATAGAAAAACGAATTTTGGAACACCAAGCATCGTGAGCATCGGCAAATATTTTCAAGTAGGTTTCAAGATTTTGCAAATAGAAATTCATTTTTTTGCCATTGAGATCCTTAAAGAGTAAAAAGTGTTGATGTTTTTTTTAGTGTACTAGGGAACCCGTGTTGTGATGACAGTCACTCAAACTGGCCCAATTGGTGAAACATTGCAATTCACAAGGATCTAATGTAGTCTGAGTTAATCATCTGACTCTGAAAATGGAATCTGGATTTTGAATCGAGTAATGAGACAGCTTTAATTATTTTGCATGTTAAGAACCTAAAGCTGGTACGCCTAAATCAGGGGGCATACATAATCTGGTAGAAAAATATTGTTAATCCTAAAAGGTAATATAGGATAGCTAGCTAGTACATAGCTGGGTACATACAGATCTAATATTATAATCTATCACATATATATGATCTTTACGTCAACAAGTCAAGTCTCTAGAATAGATAATTAATTATATATTAAGATTGATTATTAAATGACAAATATATTTCACAATAAATTATATGCAAGTATGCGATACTATAGTACTGAATTATAACACAAATAATATATAAAGAATAAAAAAAAGACAACACCGATTAAAATCAACAATTTAAATTTTGGTGTGAGTCACGTCATATACCATCTCTAACTTCCAAGAATTCTAAATACCATTTTTTAGTCATTCTACGAGCATCTTTACCCCAGATGATCATTGGGATTGCCAACATAGAAACACCAAAGTTGATAACTGCTAATGCAATATAAGTATTTTCAGTTCCTGAAGCTTCTAACCATAATGAACAAGTGAATGTGAAAATACAACTGATAGTATTATTAATGACAGCAACACAAACCATGGATTCTAAAACTAATTCAGAAGCTTCCATGACATAACCAAGGGCAATATCCCCTGCTGAACCGTATGCGAACCCAATGAAACCTAAACCAATGTACATAACAGGACGAGCTAGCATACGATCAGCACCGATACCAAACATTAATAGACCAGCAGATCCAAAAATTGCGGTTAATGAGATGAAATATAATCTAAACTCAGCTTCAACAACACCGTTATTACGACGAGCCATCCACAAAACGATATAATCACTGATTGTACCAGCATAAACACATCCAATAACTGCACCGATTAAACATGGAACGTTCATCATAGCAACACCAGCATTTGAATAATTATATGGAGGATCATAGAAAAAAGTATCTTCAGTGGTTAAATAAAATGATAAAAATGCATTTTGCATACCCCAAAAACAACCTGAGAGAATAATACCTGGAAAACAAAACATTTTCAAGTTAATAACAATATGTTTCCAATATTGTTTAAACCCCCAACCTTTCAAGTTTGAAGCTGGTGTAATTAAAGCAACCCTTTTCCAATAAGAGTTCATTTTTTCTTTGGAACCATCAATTAATTCTTCCGTGGCTTCTGGGTCTTTTTGAGAACGAGTGATAACTGTAGTTTTCTTTTCATCCCCATCAACTGTTTTTTCATCAGCTGAATCATGTTCTTCAACCAAATCATGTTCTTCAACCAAATCATTATTATCACCACTATGTTCACTTGAATTCAAAGTTGTTCCGTTATCAAGACCATTGATTGATTGTTTTGATGATAAAGGTGTAACATATCTATTTCTTTCGAAAAAAGTTTCTTCAGTAGCGAAGAATAAAACTAATAAAAGAACACCTGATACAATAGCACCAATCCAACCAACCCATCTAAAGGTTGTTCTATTGGCAATATAATTACCAATCAAAGGTGAAAGGTAAGTACCAACAGATGTACTTAAAATATAACCAGTCAACACGGAACCTAATTGATGTTGGAAATAAATATCAGTAAGGGATAATTGAACAGCAGCTTCAGCACATGATTCACTAATACCAACAAATAATTGTGACCAAATGGTATCAGATGTACTTTTTGAAAAACCAAACCAAATAGCACCAATTAAACCTAAACCGATAGAAATAATATATGGTAATTTTCTTCCATAAAGATAAGAGAAAGGTGCTAAGAATAATGTCCCATACCCAATACCAAGGAAAAGAACACCAGCTCCTGTATTCATGGCATCATAACTGATACCATAAACTTCATTTAAAGAATCTTGAGTGGACCCTGCATCATTTGAAGTAGCAGCAGTAAAAGCTGTAATGAATGCCATAATGGCAAAATGCAAATATTTTCTTGTTTTACTCCAATTTAAAGGATCATTTGGAGAATCTGAAGGTTGAGGAATTAAGATTAAATCACCTTGTTTCTTTAATTTTGATTTATATAAAACTCCATTTTCTAAATTTAATGATGAATAAATGTTATATGTCCCAGGAACAAAATCTGGATGGTATTTGTTGGTGTATTGATCCATTAAGTCAGCAGCTTGGGTGCATAGCAAGGCCTATAAGAGGGTAGATGGTGTTAGATAGGAGGAATCAAAGAAGTTTGGTGGAAAGTCCCTTGTGAAAAGTTTTGAAGTTGTTGATTTTTTGATTGATTTTTTCCAAAGATAAAGGTTGCATTTTTTTTTTTTGCGTTACTTTTTTTTTCTAAGAACAATCTCGGTGCTTTTCCGTTTTGGGAATTTGTTCAAAAGACAATGCAAAATGTTTGATAGAATACGAGAAAAATTATTGATTACTTATCAGATGATGCTCTATGTTTTATGGCGACTTTCGTTGTATCCAGTGACACTTTCAAACTGATTGTACACTTCATAAATTTAAGCTTTTATAACAAAGTTGAGTGTCAATCATAAACGCTTATATGTACGCCGAGACACCGAATAAAGCCTATGAGAAATCACAAATTATTAACAATTCGTGAAGTTGTCTACTTATAAAATTATACGCCTCGAAAAGTTAGAAATATCGTAAAACGTCTCTGATTTGTGCACTATACTATTTATTTATATACAAGTTTAAGTATGCTTCTATGCTCGTCATTTATCATTATTATATCACAACAAATTAGCAAAGTCTCTAACGAAATTTGACTTCTTCAATGTTAATAATTCACCTCTAATTTGTTCAAGATGTGGATTTGAATAATCTGGTGTACTCAACTTATCAAAAATTGATTCAAAATCTGGATCAGTTTCAAGGTATCCCTTCACCGTGTTGATCAAATCTTGTGAATATAATTTTTCTAGGTATGTCTTATGAGTATTGTGAGAATATTTAATATTTAATGATTTGGAAATGACATCATAACTAATATAAAGATTTGAATCACAATATTCAGTCTTCATTTTCCTTTGAATTCCAGATATTGATCCAACTCCAGAACCAGCTTCAGATTCATGTAAATTTCCATTTGAGGATTGATCATTTATATCTAATTGAACATGATTATTTGAAGGTGAATTTATATCATCAATACTAGTCTGATTTATATTATTATTACTATTTGAATTACCATTAATATTGTTATTGTTTGATCTTTGAGTTGTTTTGATATCTTGTTTACACTTGTAAAGAACTTTAATTGCCTTCGGGTATGGTTTTGTTGATAAATTACTACTACCTTTAGAGAATTTGAACCCAGATGTACTAATAACAGGATTAATAAACTGATGGTTTAAAGTTTGCATGATTTCATTTAAATTATTTGATGATTGATCATCTGAAGAGTTAATTTGAAGATCTGGTATAGTATCATTAGGCTCAAATTTTTTTAAAAGAATCAAGTTTTTAAGATCTGAATATTTTCCTGTGTCGATACGAGTCAAATATTCACCGAAATCACTAAACACGTTCGAGTCAAGAGGATTATCAACACAATTACCACAAAGTTTGTAGCGACCGTTATCATTTACATCGCGCAAAGCACCGCAATAGAGACAATAATCTGCATTAGGATCCTTATTTTCACTATGAACCAAACTAGCATTTTGAATAGCTGCAAAGATATTTTTAGTATCATTTGAAAAATCAGTAGCTGCATTCTTGTCTTCACCGCCATCATGTTCAGCACCTGATGGAATACCTTGATATTGTTGTTGATGTTCTTGACCTTGATGTTCATGACCTTCAACTTGAACTTGACCTTGATGTTGGTGATGTTCTTGACCTTCAACTTGACCTTGATCTTGGACTTGAACGTGTTGATGATGTTGGTGGTGTTCATCTTTTGGTTGTAAACCATGATCTTCAGATTGACCTTCTTTTAACAAACTTTCATCAATTGGAATTTCTTTATCATCAATTTTTGCTTGTTGAGGGGCAACTTGATGATATTGTTGATGATATTGTTGTTGGTGATGATCTTCAGGTCTATGTTCTGGTTGACGTTCATAAGTTTGTTGTTGAGATTGTAAAGAAGCTTGATTGGCAATGTTGATAATCTTTGCATTCAAAGCATCTTGTTGTCTCAAGTCCGGAACATTGATATGTTGAGCAGCATTATCAACAGCAACAGCAGCAGTGGCAGCGGCAGCAGCAGCAGCATCAGCAACACCAGCTTCAGTTTGACCTAATTTTTGAAGCTTCTTGAGTCTCTTCTTCTTTCTTTCGATCTCCCTGCATGGTTTACAAGTTCTATACTTCAAAGTTTCTTCAGTTTCATCAGGAGATCTCTTCTTTTTACAACGACGGCAAATATTTGGGGTAGACATTTTGGTAAAAGCTCAAAAAAAAAAGCTAGCTAATTCAATTCCACGAATCCTTCCTTGAATCAACACTACCAATTATTTACCAACACACCTAATGCTTCAAAACAAACCGTTTAGTTGATTTTGTCGCGAAGAAGTTGATAAGGTCAAAGTGAGAAAGTGAGAAAGTGAGGAAAGGTGAGAATTGGAGGAAAGGGGCATTTAAAAAACATTTTCGTGAAATTCGTGAAATTCGTGAAAAACTCCTTAAAATACGGTTTGAGCAGCAAATAATAAAAATTTTGAGTCAGCCAGCGCGGATTCGCGAATTCGTGAAATTTGATTGGTTCGCGGAACTCTAAAGCGCGGAGAATCGCGGGTAATTCGCGGCATCGGGCGCGGTATTTTTAGCGAATCTGGTAAGTTTAAAGTTTTGTCGTTTGAATAGCACGGGGTTCGAATAGGAGTCAATACTTTGCTTGCTGTTTTCGTGATTTTCGTGGGTGATTTTCTTTTTCTGATTTCGGAGTAGAATAAGACAAACTTTAAATTTTCCAGCCTCAGTTTAAACTAAAAAGAAGATAGGAATACCTCCAAACAAAAACAAAAACAACACCTCTATTTAGGATTTCAGAGGAGCAAAAAGATACAGTAAAAGTAATGATTCCGCCCAGGATCGAACTGGGGACCTTTCGCGTACCTTTAAATTGTTAGGCGAACGTTATGACCAACTAAACCACGGAACCAATTTCTGAGTTTGGAAAAATGATGGTTTTTCCGGCTTTCTTAATTCTGACTAAGCGATTACTAAGCATGAATTAGATAAAGTAGTGAGCACTGAGTGCCATATAGAGTACTAGAGTATAACGTATGCATTATTATAGTAATACAACAAGCAATACATTGATAACTAACTAGTTAGTAGTATAGTCTATAAGCATAAAACTTCAAATACATAGCTATACATATATAATTGGCCTGCAATTTCTATAGTTTATCACCTTCACGACGTATGATATTATCAATATGCCATATCTTCAATTGAAATACCTGAGCTATTACACATGTCTCTGAAAATCTCATTCTTATTGAACAGCTTCAATGGCGAATCATACTCTTCCAGTTCACCTTTTTCTAAAACTAAGATCTTATCATATTTCACAATAGTTTTCAATCTATGGGCAATACATAGGACTGTACAGTTTTTAAATTCATTGGAGATTGTGTTTTGAATCAAGGCATCTGTTTCATAGTCAACACTTGAAGTTGCTTCATCCATAATCAAAATCTTAGTTGAACGAACCAAAGCTCTTGCCAATGCAATTAATTGACGTTCACCTAATGAAAAATTAGAACCGCCATCTTCAACAAGAGCTTCCAAATGAAATTTATTGGCTAAAGTTTGAGCGTTATCAGCTTTAGATGATTGATTTTTTAAAGCACTCAATTGGTCAATCTTAATCAAACCACATCTTTTTAAAACATCCCATAGCTCAAAATCTGATCTTTCATTAAATGGATCTAAGTTTCTTCTAATGGTACCTTGAAATAATACTGGATCCTGTGGGATAATAGTCAACTTTGATCTTAATTCATGTAATCCCAATTGGCTGATATCAACACCATCAATCAAAATCTTCCCGCTGGAAAGCTCGTTCAATCTATATAGCGTAGCCATTAATGAGCTCTTACCTGCACCTGTTCTACCACAAATACCCATTTTTTCACCACTCTTCAAATCAACACTCAAATTCTTTAAAACTAAAGGTAGCTCGGGTCTATATCTGAATGAAATGTTCTGAAACTCTATGGCACCTTTCTGTGGCCATGATTGATGAGGTATATTGTCCTTTCTGTGATAATCTGCTTCCTGATCCAGATCATTTGCATAATAGCATAATCTTTCGACAGAATTCATTTCATTCTCAGTTTCTGAATATGACAGTAAAGCTTGTGTCAAACTTTCACACAGTCTCAAAACTGATGTTGTTATTAGCCCTGTTGATCCAGCACTAATATTGAAAACCCTGAACAATGACAAGAACATAACAATTAAAGCAACAGCGGTGGCCATTGAATCAACAACCATTATGATCCATCTCTGGTTTGCCACGGTGACCAAATAAGCTTCATTCAATTGGTCTAAGTACCTATCATTCTTGTTAACAAATATTTTTTCAGATTTATATAATTTTATAGTTTCCAGTCCACTCAATACTTCATTGAAATTGTTATAGACAAATGACCTTCTTAATGCTTCTATTCTTTTGACTTCCCTAGAGGTTGCTTGGTAATAATTTACTGTGAGTAAAAATATAATAGCTAAAGGTGGTAGAGCTAATGCAAACCAAGGAAGATAAATAACACACAATATTAATACTCCAAAAATAGTGGCAGCTAAGTGTAAGAAAATCTTTAACTGTTCACCAATCTCATTATCCAAAGAGTTGGTATCTTTGGTAAACCTATTCAAAATTCTACCCATTGGTGTTGTATCAATGAAACTCATTGGTGTATGAAGAATCTTTGTCACTGCACTCAAGTTCAAAGTTTTGGAAGCTTCAGTAATAAAATATCCCATTCCGCTTAATTCCACACATAGAAAAATGAACCCTAGTATAACGATACCAACATACATCCCAATATAGAATCCGTTACCTTGATTGAATTTATTGTCAACCCAAAATGATAGCCAAACACTTGAAAACAAACTAATGAAAATTGAAAGTGTTAAAGACAAAAGTAGGAAAGGTAAAGCAGATATACCAAAAACACCACGAGAAGCTTGGTAGTATTGTACATATATCCTAAAAGGTATACTATCATTGGCTTTTTGTTCATCTTCAACTAATTTACCATCACTATTAAGCTTAACTGTCTCAGTTTGTTCATTTATATCTTTTCCAGATTTAGAGTTTTCTTCTTTATTACTTTCTGTAATAGCATAACTCATCATTGATCTATATCTGGAATTGGTTTCATATAATTCCTTTTGAGTTCCAACATCTATCGAGCCATCGCCATTCAAGAAAATGATTTTATCAGCTCTAGAGACTAATGATAATTGATGAGTAGCCAATATTCTTGTTTTGCTCGACATTTGTTCCAAAAAGCATTTTTCAACGATATGATTACCAACATTAGCATCAACTGCACTTAACACATCATCAAGAAGGTATATGTCTTTATTTGCATAAACTGCACGAGCCAAATTGATACGAGCTTTTTGACCCCCAGATAAAGTTACACCTCTTTCACCAATTTCAGTCATATCACCAGCTGGCAATAATTTTAAGTCCGCTTCTAAAGCACAGTTTCTTAGTGTGTTATGATATCTATTAGCGTCAAAGTCATTGCCAAACAAGATGTTCTCTTTAACAGTAGAGTTTTGTAACCAAGGTATACCACAAAATAATATTGATCCATCTAATGAAATTTCACCTGAAGTTTGTTTCATTAACCCAGAAACTGCAGATAATAATGAGGATTTACCAGATCCAATTGACCCCATCAAGACAACAAATTCACCCTTTTTAATGTTGAATGTTATATTTTTCAATCCGTTGGATAAGTAGTCTTCATCATTTACGTTGCGGAAATTTTCCCATTCAAAAGAACCATTTTCAACTTTTAAAGCAATTTTGGGGTCTGATGGTACTAAATATTCAATTTGTGATGTTGAATCTGGAGCTTCAAGATATTCAGAAATTCTTCTCAAACTAACAATAGCAGCAGATGTAAATGATATAAGCATTGGTAGATCTGTAACAAATCCAGAAAGAACATTGAACAAAGCTAAAGATGAGAAAATATTACCTGGGTTATTTCCTGGTGTAATTGCATACAATGTTAAAAATGCCAACATTGAACTAAAAGTGGGTAAGCTGACAGCAACTGATAAGATACTATTGATAGCAAATTGGAACTTGAAAACATATGACATTTCTTTATTTCTAGCTTGGATAATTCTTTCTTCATATGAATCCTCCCAAGAATAAAATTTAATCATCTTCATAGCATCTAAAACTTCTCTAATTAATGATACTCTTTCATCTGTATATTTTGCAGCACTAGATCTCACGCTGATCATCCATTTAGCAGGAAAAGTTAATAGTGGAACACCGATGATAAATAATGATATACCAGCTAACGAAGCAGCACCAATGTTTGAAATCAATAATGCAATACCAATGATTATAGGAATTGGTAAAGTCAAAAAATGTGCACAATAAGTTATTCCAATGTTAATTTTTGCTATATCTCCACTCATCAAAGAGACAATTTTCCCATTAGGGAAATCAAATCTTGTTTTAGAGCTCGCAGATATGGATTTTTCCAATATGGCTCTTGTTAATATAGAGTTTGTATGAGCACCAATAGTTTTAGTATTATAAGCCGCATGAACTATGGAAATTGTATTAAAAAACAAAACAGCAGCTATACCTAAAGCAAATCCAACACCTGGTCCAACTGATCTTGAAGGGTCAATTATTCTTAATTCAACATTTTGGATAAGATACTTGATTAACAAGGGAGCAATAACTTGAAAGACATTCCCAGAAGCCTTCAAAGCCAAAGCTTTTGAAAATTCCCATTTAAAGACAGTTACTATGGCCCTTAAAACTTTCCAATTTCCTAGTCTTTTATCTGGAGACGTGGATGCATCAGTAAGCTGATCAAGCTTGTCTTTAAATTTTTCATAAACCACTGAAATAGAGCTTTCTTCATCTAATTTCCACAGGTCATTAAATTCCAACGTTCTTTTGTATCCTCGATTCAACAGTGGTATGAGCCAAAAGAAAAACAATCTTGATATGAAGTTGACCCTTTTATGTGGGAAAGTTGTTCTCTCTTCATCAGATTGCACTATGGGAATTCTTTTGGACAAGAATGGTGTCATCAATCTTTTTGACCCCTTAGGCTCATCTTTGGTTTCCAGCCCAATGTCTTTATCCTTGAACAACATCGTTGGCTTTTGGAAAATCAGCTTTTAGTAGTGTTACTGATAAACAATAGCGAAAGATCCATTGTTTTTATATGCACATTGTGAATTTCACCAACTTCATCGTTACGAATAGACTGGCTTGCTTATAAAAGGTATAAGTCCATTTAGACCCGCGTCCTTTACCTATCTACAAATGCCACAATTCTTATCCTGATTACATAAGTTTGGTGATACGATTATATAATAATAAGGCTATTAATTAATTAGCATTATACAAATATTCAACTATAATAAAGAGCTCGATGGACAAAACTTTGATTCAATCACCAGATTATTTCAATTGACTTTCATCATCTGGGTGTCTATCTTCTAACGAACTAATACCTGAACTATCATCAATACCAAATGCATAATCAATACCACCTTTCAAATAATTTTTACCAGATTGAACACCATCATTGACCTTGTGTACGAAGTTTCGACCTTTTTGAATAATCGTTTCACAATCAGTTGGTGCCTTAGCAATCTTACCAAATTGGACAGTAACTCTAGAAATTGAAAGAATATAGGAAAGAACAGAATGGGAACCAGTAGAATTGTCAATTTCATTAGGGTCCATACCACAATAACTAAACCCATCACCATCGGATGAAAATAATTTTTGAAGATACCATTCTGATGATTTTCCTTCTGATGAAAACTCCATTGTTGGAATTTTTTGAAGATTTTGATGAAAATCTTCTTTATAAGCTAATGAAACAAAACTATGTTCTTTAATCTTGTCGAAAACACACTTATCTTTATTCCAAGAGATATGCTCTTTTGGTTTAGCTTCACCAAGAAGTGTTAAGGCAATTTTGACACCAAGATCTTTATAGTCTCCACCTGGAACAAGATCAATTATTGGGACATAATTTCCATCTTTGGTCTTGAAGAAAGCAAAATTAAAATTAAGAAATGATGGTTCATTTGACAATTTTAACAAATGAGGTATATCAAAATTGGCAAAAAAGATGTCACCTTCAATTTTGTCTTTTAATAGCTCACCAAGCGCATTGAAATATTCTTCAGAATTAGTATTATTTCTACTCTCATCATTGGTACCTTTAGGTTTAAATTTATTCTTTATAGATGATAATATATCCCTTTTTTGAAAATCATCATGTTCTTCATCATGTAATTTGTTATTATCTTGATTGATCTTTTTTAAGTCATCAATTTCTTTTTTATTTTCTTCTATAATTTTCAAAAGTGTTTCATACTGTGACTTATTGATACCCTCGAAGGATTTGTCAGTTTGATCAGGATCTTTAAATTTTTCATCCGCTATTGTTTTTATAATACGACCAATTTGTTCATCTGAAAAACCACCAAATATTCCATCGGGCTTAAATAGATCAACAAGTTCATCAGAGCTCTTTTCACCAGGTGTTACCTTTTTAGAAGGTTGATGACGTCTTAACTCATCAGTTAAATCATCAGGACTAATCTGCACTGGTCCAAAAATTTTAGAAAGTTGCCCATTAATATGTTTTGGAATCCTCTTACTTGTGAAATAAAATGATGCTAATCCAGCCAACATAAGTAAAAGAATGATAACAACCGTAAACACTGCACAAGGTCCAGTAAACGCTGGACTTGCAGCCATAAATCCACAAGCGGAAGCAACAAAAATTCCTCCTACAATGGAAAGCACTGCGGTCATAGTACCAAAAAGTGCAAGCCCTTCACTATGTTCTTGAACCCAACGGTTACCATCAGGATATCTTGTAACTCTTCTCTTCAATCTTCTGATAACCCTGTGTAGATATTCCTTTTGTTCAGGATCAATTTCTGATCCTGTGCTTTGTAATTTGAAATCAAATGAGGATGTAACATTATCTGAAGATGTTGAGTTTTCTGTGAACCAGTCTATTGAATCATCAGTCAAAACTGAAATGAAGTTATTTGTGAATTTTTCGGCATCTTCTATGATTGATTGATAGTGTTCTGGTGGTATATTTTTTATAAATTGATATATAAAATCATCAGGAATATTAACCCCAGTTAAAATCTGACCTAGATTTATTTCACTGTTTTCACTGGAAGTAATATTTAACTTTTTCAAATCATAATTCTCAGAAGTTACAGTGTTAAACTGATCATCCACGTCATCTTCTGGATGGGAACCCATCTCAACAACTTCAAAAAATTGCTTCATTGCGTTTTGAAATTTTTCTGTACTAGATAAGATCTGAGCAATTTCACCAGCAGTATCACCTTTTGTAGCATTCCTTGCGTCACTACTAGCTTTAATATTCTCTTGGTTTCCTTTATCAGATGGATAACTGATCTTTGCAAAAAAATCATAAAATTCTCTTCCAGTAACACCCTCAAATAAATATACACCTTTATCTGAGTATGCATTAACACAATGAGTTGCCATAATAAGATAGATAACAAATGTGGCAAATATGTTTTTCTTTTTGGTTGTTGTAATTAATGGTTTGCTTAATATTGAACTAATATCAATATTATAAATGAGATTAATGATGCTCATGATAATGAACATGAAAAACCATTGGATAGTTGATAATTTTAATAACATTTTAATAGTATCTGATTATTTATGAAGCTTTAAATGTATAATAGTAGTTGATAATACTTTGACTTTGTGATACTTTATATGTAAAGTGAAAAAGTTTTTGAAGTCAAATAGCTGAGGGAAGCTCCTCCTTTTATAATAAAATTTGTATATTACTCAATTATGACCTCTAAAGCGGTGAGAAGCCCTTTTAACAAATTATATACTCAAAATATCATGACGTATTTGACCATGTATAATATTTTCTGTCTATAATTTAACAGTATTCTGTATAGTTCATAGTTATAAAACGAACAGAAAATGAATTTATTTTTTGAGTGAGAATAATCAATTTGTCCTTAGTCGGTTCTTTTCCGCATTTGCTCCAAAACTCCATAAAAAGTTTACGATCAAGTGTTCCTAATTCACTGAGAACATTATCCTTCTATAATTCGTCACCTTCTCGTACGTGCCCAGCTCGTGCTTTTTTAGATGAGAGCTTTGACGATACAAAACTTTAAGACGTTGTGACTTCATTTCCCTGACGCGTGAACTAAAATTAAGTTCTGTATCGTGCATAGTACAATTTTCGAGATTTGATCTACAGGCACATATATCCGATAAGATAAGAAGACTAAGGAAGTATATCATCAATTCAAATAAATTATATTATACTACTCATTTGTAAAGTATAAGTCTCAGCATGTTGGTGGTGGACTAGGTTTTTCAAACGAAACACTGAAACGCATTGAGTTCACGAAATCCGATAAACTTGAGAATTTTGATACACTTCCATCATTAACACCTGAATCTTTACCACAATATGAATATTTTTCACCTAATAAATCACCTAGAGAATTTTCATAGGTCAAATCGTTGAAAACATTATCAACATTTAAGAAATCAACATCATCTTCAAATTCAACTTCTTTAGAATCACCAAAATTCAAAAACATAACTGTATGTTGACGAAACATTGTAGATTCAGCATTGGAATCTCCTGAGTTTATAGCTGTTTGTCTCATAGATGGTCTATCATTTAATCCCAAAATTATACTAATGTAAAGATCTTTGTAATCCCCACCTGATAGAGGGTCTAACGCAAACATTCTTTGACCATCTTTGGTAAACATTGCAACATTATAATTTAAAAATGATTTTCCACAATTTTCTTTATTTTGTGCAGCACATAAAAGATCAAAATTACGAAATTCAATACAGTCAATGCCTTTAGTTAATTCTTTATGAACCATTTCATCAGTGATATCTTCATTGTTTTCAGATTCACTCTCCATCTTATTTCTTTGAAATTTAACTAACTTAGTATATTCTTTCAAGTTTGCTTGGTATGAAGCTCTCAATCTTTCATGATAACCAAATGATTTACCGAAAAGTGACAAGAGTTTATTCCCATCAATACCACCAATACCATAGCTATAATCTTCATCTTTTGAGTGGGTTGCTTCACTAGATGGAACATAGTTTTGACCAATTTTGTATAATTCTTCTTTTGGTACTAATATTGCACCATCTAATTTTGACGCAGTATCATCAGCAGGTGGATCTGGATAGTATTCTTTTCTATGTCTCCAAAATAATATTGATAAATAAACTATAATAATCAAATAATAAGCAAGACAATAAGGACCTCCAAGTTTACAAATCATATTCTCAAGCTCTGGATTAAATCCACATAAAATTCTAACTTTAGCAGCAAAAGCTTCACCTAAATCATCATCTTCATTGGGGAAAGTGAAAGAATGACCTTCTTCTTCATTTCTTTTTTGTAATACATTTGTTTCATTGTCCTGATCTGGTTCTGGTGTATTTGGTGAATCTAGTGATGACAATAATGAGCTCAATACTTTGAAATATGGATCATTTTTTTGTAATCCTTTGAAAAGTTTCTGTTGAATCAAATCACTAGTAATTTTTTGAAGTCCTGGTGTTGTATGAGATTTTTGAATTTTTTCAATCAATTCGGAAATTTCAGAAATTGATTTTAGTTCATTAGTATCCACATTTTCTATGTCAATTGACTCTAAAGCTTCTTTTATTTTTTGGAACTCTGACTCTGAAATAATTGATTTCAATTGTGAATCAAATTTCTTGTAAATTGGACACTGAATACCAGTATCTTCATTCAAATTGCTGACGTTTTCATTATTTTGAGCAGGTTGTGTACCAGCTATTTTCTCAGTATTATTGTTGGTTTCTTCTTCTTCTTTTTGCTCAGATTTTAAATTCTCATTTGAACCCTCTGACTTGATGTAATTTGTCTTGAAAATGAGCTCATCTCTTAAGGCCACTGGTTGAAAAGCAGCATGAGTGAAATAAGTGTGTAACGTTAAAGCTTGAGCAGCAGCTTGGGCTAAGGTAATATTTTTAAACTTCATCTGGTGGTCTATAATATTAGCTTTGATAATAATCTTCCAGTGCTAGTAATCTAATCAAAACAACGTTGGGAAAATGCATTTTTATATGAAAATTGGGAACATCGTTTTGCTTCAAATGATTGAACATCATCTTGAGTGTAATACTAATTGGTCTTTCCAAATTTGAGGAGCACGTACGGATCATAAAGTTCTATCTTATTATTATTTAGGTGAATTTGAGAACATTATGAAACCCTTAATTATTTCGAAAAACTAAGCAAAAAAGTTTCCAATTTTGATGGGGATGGACTAGGATCTCAATACTTTCCTCATTTGAGTCAGCTCATCATGATTTTCAAGACACTCAAATCTAGATCAATAATGAATTACAACGTTCATTATCGTGTAGTCAACGTCTGTAATTTGATATTTTGATGTCCAGGTGTTGAGATTTATTTCCGGGGGAATTAAATTGATCAAATGTGATTATATCATTATTCTCAAAGAATAGACAGTAACGTCACTATTTACTGTAGGTAATATGCTCATACTATTGTGCTGCTTGTATCATAGAATATTATACTCATTTTCTCAAAAGTGGACCAGCTTGTATAAGTAATTTTGAGCAAAATAGAGCTAGCTGGTGCAATCATTTGGAACATTAATAGAGAAACTCGAAGAACAATTTTATAAACTCATGAGATATTATTTCAAAAGATCTACAATATTTTTAGTATTATAAACAAAAACTTATTATTAATTATTATTAATTTTATCATAAATCATTCATAAAGTCAAGCTAGTTAGTTAGCTCAAATACCTCTCAAAAATCATCAGCCCCAATATTAGAAGCAATACACATATCCCTAAAGACACCTTGTCTTTGGAAAAGCTCTAAAGGTTTATCAAATTCCTCTAATTCACCCTTTTCCAATACTAAGATTTTGTCATAATTAATAATTGTCTTTAATCTATGAGCAATACATAAAATAGTACAATCACTAAATTCTCTAGTAATAGTTTCTTGAACAAATGAGTCTGTCTTGTAATCAACACTTGAAGTTGCTTCATCCATAATTAGAATCTTTGTACGACGAACCAATGCTCTAGCTAATGCTAATAATTGACGTTCTCCTAATGAAAAATTTGCACCTTCATCTTCCACAATACTTTCCAAATGAAATTTATCATCTTCTCTTCCTGCTAATCCACTTCTTTTCAAAGCATCCCATAATTCTTCATCTGTATTGTTATTGAAAGGGTCTAAATTAGATCTAATTGTACCTTGAAACAAGACAGGATCTTGTGGAATAATTGATAATTTAGATCTTAAGTCATACAATCCCAATTTACTAATATCAATACCATCAATTAATACTTGACCTTCAAAAGATTCGGCAATTCTGTAAAGTGCCACCATTAATGAACTTTTACCTGCACCTGTTCTACCACAAATACCAATTTTTTCACCACCTTTAATACTAATTGATAACTTTTTCAAAACTAATGGTAAATCATCTCTATATTTCAATGATAAATCTTTGAATTCTATAGAACCTTCTTCTGGCCATGTTGGTCTTGGTTGATAATCCAGTTTTTTATAAGCAGCTTCTTGTTCTAAATTATTTGCATATTGACAGACTCTTTCCACTGAATTCATATCATTTTCCACTTCAGAATATGTTTGCATTAAAGTTGATAACATACGAGACAATTCAATCATATAATAAGTCAATAACCCAACTGATGATGCATTAATATTGAATTGTCCCGTTAGTGAGAGCATTGTTACTATAAGAACAATACCTGTAGCCATTATATCTAAGCTAACTGCAATCCATCTTTGATTAGCCACAACAACAAAATAAACTTCATTTAAATGATCATTTAATAAATCATTTTTGGCAATAAACCTTGATTGAGCCCCATATGATTTGATAGTATTCATACCATTCATAACCTCATTGAAATTATTATAAACAAATGATCTATTAATAGCTTCTAATCTCTTGACTTCTCTTGATGATGCTTGATAAAAATTGGTAATACAAAGGAAAAAAATTATCAAAAATGGAACAGCAATTGCAAACCATGGTAAATAAATAATACACATTATTAAAATACCAATAATTGATGAAGAATAATAAACAAATAATTTCAGTTGCATACCAATTTCATTATCTAATGAGTTTGTATCTTTGGAGAATCTATTTATAATTCTACCAACTGGTGTTGTATCAATAAAACTCATTGGTGAATGTAAAACTTTTTTCATAGCTTTTAAATTCAAATTTTTGGAAGATTCAGTAAAGACATATCCCATAATTGATAATTCAATTGAAACGAAAATAACACTAAGAGCTGTAATCATAACATAAATTGCAATATATTCACCATTTGTTAAATTTTTAAATTTATATGAAACCCAAAATGATAACCAAACATTAACAAATAATTTAGTAAACACAGCAAAGATAACAAAAATCAGTGTTAATGGAACAGCTGAATATCCAAAAATACCTTGACCAGCATGAATGTATTGCTTGTATAATGAAAGTGGGATACTATCAACTGCACGTTCTTCTGCTTTAATTAAAGTACCGTCTGATTCCAAAGGTTTTTCATGAGAAGTTGTGACATTTTTTTCAGTTTGATTTTGAGTTTTATAATCAATTTGATCTTTATTTTCAATCTCAATTCTTGAATCTTCATTGAAAACCATCAATTGAACAAATTCTTTATTTTGAGATCTTAATTCACTTTCAGTCCCGATATCAACAGTACCATCGCCATTCAAAAAAACAATTCGATCAGCTTTATTAATCAATGATAATTGATGAGTTGTTATAATTCTTGTCTTATCTTTGATATAACCTAATAAGCAATTTTCTGTAATATGTTTACCAACATTTGCATCAACTGCACTTAAGATATCATCAAATAAATAAATATCTTTATCTGCATATATGGCTCTTGCTAGATTAACACGAGATTTTTGTCCTCCTGATAATGTAACACCTCTTTCACCAATTTCTGTTAAGTCACCAGCTGATAAATTTTGTAAATCATGTTTTAATGAACAAACTTTTAAAATTTCATCATATTTTTCTCGATCAAATTTTGAACCAAATATAATATTTTCCCTTATTGTGGTGTTTTGTATCCATGGTGAACCACATAATAAATTTGAACCATTAATACCAATTTCACCATGGGTTTTGTTCATGAGTGCAGAAATTGCAGATAATAATGAAGATTTACCTGAACCTGTTGGTCCTGTAATGACAATAAATTCCCCTTTTGAAATTTTTAAATTTATATTTGATAATTTAAAATTTTTAGATTCTTTACCAATTGTAGAATCATCAGATTCAATAACTTCTTCCACAGTAGTTTCAACTTTTTTTTTACTAAACCAACTATTTGATTTTTTTAATTTTTTATTTGGTTTTTCATCTTGTGATTTTTCATTAAATAATGGCCATTCAAAATTACCATTTTCAATTAAGATTGAAGTTTTCTCATCTTTAATTAATTCATCATTATAATAATTTTCCAAATCAAAAGTTTCTTCAGGTGATCTCAAGAATTTTGTAACTCTACTTAAACCTAATAACCCTTCAGCAGCTGATGAAAAAACCATTGGTAACTCAATAATTTGTGTAGATAAGATACCAAATAATGTTAATGATGAAAAAACAGTTGCTGGATTACCTTGAGAATCAACAGCATATAGCACAAGAAATGCACCCATTGCAGTTATTGAAGATGAATTGATTGCAATTGTAATGACCAAATTAACAATGAATTGAAATTTCAACACTAATGAAGATTCTTTGGATCTTATATTTGTAATCATTTCTTCATAAGCATCTTCCCATGAGTAAAATTTGATCATTTTTAAAGATTGAATAACTTCTCTCATTTTATTAATTCTTTCATCTGTAAATACATTTGCCCTTTTTCTAATTTTGAAAAGTGATATAGCAGGAATTGCCATTACTGTTAAAGTTAAAAAGAAAACTGCAATACCAGCTAGTGCAGAAACACCAATATTTATTAAAAGTAATATTATTGCAATGATTATTGGTTCAATTATTGTTAATCCTGTTGGTAATTCATATATTGATTGATCAATTCTTTGTAAATCAGCACTCATAAATGATATAATTCTACCACTTGGATAATGGAATTTTGTTTCAGAATTAGAAACCAATGATTTTTGAATTAATGTCTTAGTCAATAATGTCTTTGAGTGACCACCAACTAATTTTGAATGTAAAAGGGATTGATTCATAAAAATTGCAGAGAACATTAACATAAATGTTAATCCAATGGAATAACCAACACCTTTATTAATAGGGGTGTCTGGGTATAAAGCTTTTTCACTAATGAAATTGATTAATCTTTTGGAAATCAATGGAGCAAATGCATTAAGAGCATTTGATATGAATTTTGTTATAATTGCAATGGAATACTCATATTTGAAAGTTTTAACTAGTGCCAAAAAAATGGCAAATCTTGGGAAGGATTCTTCATCATCTTGATGTTTTGAATCAAATTTAGACATCTCATCATTCAAATGTTTTTCAAAATTAGTATAAACATAATCAATTGAAGTATGCTCATCTAATTTCCATAAATCTTCTTGTTGTAAAGTTCTTTTATAACCTTTTGATAATAAAGGTAATAACCAAGTACAAAATGCTTTTGAAAGGATATTTGTACGATAAAATGGATATGATGTTCTCTCAGATTCTTGAGGTATTGGAGGAATTTTCTTAGTTAAAATTGGAGTTAATAATCTCTTCACGGGTCTTGATGGTTGAATATGAGCATTTGATTTTTCCAAGTCTGTTATAGAAGAACTTGATGACATTTTGGCATTTGATTTGTATAGAATTTAGCTGCCCATGAGATACCTATATTCGACCAAAGAGATGACATCTTATACTCTTATATAAATTTTGCACAATTTTGGTATATATCATGTAATGAATAATTTTCCAATTGATCTAGCCCTATAGTAAAAAATAAATTAATATCTCATCTTGAAATAAGCAACCGAAAACAAGATGGCATCGTAACCACTATTAGGCGCATTAGTAGGCATTAGCAGTATGCAGTATACCATTCAATGGTTCCTTCAGTCTAAAAGATTCCTAAATATTCTCTCAGCTATGATTGATTACACATTTCGTTAATTTATACTTTGCATGTTTCAAACTAAATTGTAGTTGCGATCTTCGAAAAGACCAATTTCAGTCGTGTGCTTCAATACTTCTTCTAGAAATCTGTAATGAGGTACACGCACTATAACGGGATTTAGTGGAACACTGGAATGGGTACTATTGATGGAATTTAAAGTTATAGTTTGGCAGTACTTTGTGCAGTTAGTTTGGGCTTGTTTGGATCGATATTTTAAAACTTTATGTATTAACTGTTGTAGATTGCATACGCGTACATGTTTCCCTATTGAGTAATACATGGTACCTACAGGCTACTACCCAGCTAGTAGTTACCCAGTGTTTATTGTTCAATTTAAATTGGTGCATAAGTACTATAAACTATAATCATCGTAGAAGTAGAAGTATTGTTTAGTGATTTCGCTTGGCTTCAGCTTTCAAGTGAAAATCAGTTGGAGTAGTACACCAAGTGATCAGCTACTCATCATCCCAGTTATCAATAATCACAAGTGTCTCTTCGGATAGACATTTGCTTATAGCAATCAAATCATCATGGATTAATACCGTCCTCGAAGGAACAATTAATTTCAAATCAAGATCTAAAGCTCAAAGTCTAAAGTTGCTCACTCTTGTTAGCCTCATGATTCATGATTCAGATCTGAATCGGGGCTGCACTCATGTACCAAATTCCAAACCCGATGTGTGTATACTTGAAGATCTCGAAACTTACATAAACAGAGATTTTTTAAACAAAGGAATTAATCGGCTTTTCTATACAATAAAGTCAAATTAGCCTAATGCTCGCGTGCACACTGATCAATGACCACTGATTTTCAACATTTAAATTAGTAGCGTGCAATTTTAATTCAGTACATATTTTATGGTTGATCAATTACCTTAATGGTTAACTTGTATGATCTAGTATTTTATGTACAACACAATCAACACCTTATTTACATGTATTATTCCTATGTACTTAACTATTATGATTAATTACTTCAAGGATAATTTAACCGTTCTATAAATATTTACACAATTGATTCCTTAACAATAATTTCATATCCAATTACTTAAAATCAATTCCTAATATAATTCAAACGCCACATCAATATAAAACAAATGATTAATTAAAATTGCTAACAATTTCATAAACTCTCAGAAAAAGAAACAATCAAACAATCAAAATTTAAAAATCTTCAACTCCAATATTTGAAATTTTACACATATCTCTGAAAATACCTTGTTTTTTGAAAAGGTCTAATGGTTTATCAAATTCTTCCAATTCCCCTTTCTCCAAAACTAAAATCCTATCATATTTAATAATAGTCTTTAATCTATGAGCAACACATAAAATGGTACAATCACTAAATTCTCTTGCAATTGTTTCTTGAACCAATGAATCAGTTTTATAATCAACACTTGAAGTTGCTTCATCCATAATTAAAATTTTGGAACGACGAACTAATGCTCTAGCTAATGCTAATAATTGACGTTCACCTAATGAGAAATTTGAACCTTCATCTTCAACAACACTATTTAAATGGAATTTACTGTATTCATTTTCATTTTCATCCTTCATCTTGATCATTTCTTCAGGTGTTATTAATCCACTTCTTCTTAAAGCATCCCATAATTCAGATTCTGTACTTTCATTAAATGGATCTAAATTAGATTTAATTGTACCTTGGAACAAAACAGGATCTTGTGGGATAATTGATAATTTAGATCTTAAATCATGTAATCCTAATTTACTTATATCAGTTCCATCAATAAAAATTCCACCTTCTGCAAATTCTGCAATTCTATACAGGGCAATCATTAATGAACTTTTACCTGCACCTGTTCTACCACAAATACCAATTTTTTCACCACCTTTAATATCAATTGATAAATTTTTCAAAACTAATGGTAATCCATCACGATATCTTAATGATAAATTATCAAATTTTATACCACCTTCTTCTGGCCATGTTGGTCTTGGTTGATAATCCAATGTTCTGTAAGCAGATTCTTGTTCTAAATCATTTGCATAATGACAAACTCTTTCCACTGAATTCATTTCATTTTCAACTTCTGAATATGTTTGCATCAAAAATGATAACATTTGTGATAATTCAATCATATAATAAGTTAATAACCCAACTGATGATGCATTAATACTAAATTGACCCGTCACTGAAAGCATAGCCACTATGAATACAACTGCAGTGGCCATTATATCTAAATTAACTGCAATCCATCTTTGATTTGATACAACAACAAAATAAACTTCATTCAGTTGATCACCAAATATGTCATTTTTACGAATAAATCTTTCACCTGCACCATATGCTTTAATAGTATTCATACCATTCATAACTTCATTAAAATTATTATAAACAAATGATCTATTAATAGCTTCTAATCTTTTAACTTCTCTTGATGATGCTTGATAAAAATTTGTTGCACAAAGGAAAAAAATTGCTAAAAATGGTACAGCAATTGCAAACCATGGTAAATAAATTATAGCTAAGATTATAATACCAATAATTGTTGATGAAAAATGTAAAAATAATTTTAATTGCATACCAATTTCATTATCTAATGAATTAGTATCTTTGGAAAATCTATTAATAATTCTACCAACTGGTGTTGTATCAATAAAACTCATTGGTGAATGTAAAACTTTTTGCATAGCTTTTAAATTTAATGTTTTGGAAGCTTCTGTAAATACATAACCCATAATTGCTAATTCAACAACAACAAACAAGACACTCAACACAGTGAACATAACATAAAGTCCAATATATTGACCATTTGATAAATTTTTAAATTTTTGTGCAACCCAAAATGATAACCAAACATTTGTAAATAAATTAACGAAAACTGATAAAATTATACAAATTATGGTTAATGGGAATGCAGTAAATCCAAACATACCTTGACCTGCTTTAACATATTGTTTATATAATGAAAGTGGGATACTATCAAATGCACGTTCTTCTTCTCCAAATAGTGTACCATCAATTGGACCAGAAGGTTTATCAGCAATACTTGTAACTTTTGTAATTTTATCATTAATTTGTTCTTCATCATCTGTGTTTTTTTGCTCTAATTCTTTATTATATTCCATTAATTTAACAAAATCTTTGTTCTTGGATCTTAATTCTGATTCAGTACCAACATCAATTAGTCCATCACCATTTAAAAAGACAACACGATCAGCTTTACTAATTAATGATAATTGATGTGTTGCAATAATAATTGTCTTGGAAGATAATAATCCCAATAAACAATTTTCAGTAATATTTTTACCAACATTTGCATCAACTGCACTTAAGATATCATCAAATAAATAAACTTCTTTATCTGCGTATACAGCTCTTGCTAAATTAACACGAGCTTTTTGTCCACCAGATAATGTGACACCTCTTTCACCAATTTCAGTCATATCACCAGCTAGTAATGATTTTAAATCATGTTCTAATGAACAAACCTCTAAAACTTTTTTATATTTTACATGATCAAATTTTGAACCAAATAAAACATTTTCTCTTATTGTAGTGTTTTGAACCCATGGTGCACCACATAATAAATTGGATCCATTTATAGCTATTTTACCATCAGTTTTGGTCATGAATGCACTAATTGCAGATAATAATGATGATTTACCTGAACCTATTGGTCCTGTGACAACTATAAATTCACCTTTGGAGATTTTTAGATTGATGTTTGATAATTTAAAAGGCTTTTGTTGATTTGTATTATCTTCGTCTGTTGATGATTCTTTATTAATTTCATCATTTGAAGAATCTTCAGTGGTTTTAGTTTTTTTATTAAACCAACCATTACCACCTTGTGATTTTTTGAGTTCTTTTTTTCTTTGTTTTTCATCTTTCTTTTTTTGTTTTTTAGTTTCTTCATCATCTTCTTTTATTTCAGTGAATAATTCCCATTCAAATTCACCATTTTCAATTTGAACAGCAATTTCATCATTTTTAATTAATTCACTATCATAAAAATTTTCAACATCAAAAGTTTCCACTGGAGATCTTAAATATTTTGTAATTCTATCTAAACTTAATAAACCTTCAGCAGCTGATGAAAAAACCATTGGTAATTCAATAACTTGTTGTGATAAGATACCAAAAAGAGATAAAGATGAAAAAACATTTGCCGGGTTCCCATGAGATTTAACAGCATAAAGCACCAAAAAGGCACCCATTGAAGTGATTGATGAAGCATTAATAGCAATTGTAATCATAACATTAATAGTCAATTGGAATTTCAAAACTAATGAAGATTCTTTTGATCTTATACCAGTAATTAAATTTTCATAAGCATCTTCCCATGAATAAAATTTAATCATCTTCATTGATTGAATAACTTCTCTCATTTTACCAACTCTTTGATCTGTGAAAACATTTGCAGCTTCTCTAATTTTAAATAATGAACCAGCTGGAACACCCATTAAAATTAATGTTAAAAAGAAAATTGCAATACCAGCTAATGCTGAGACACCAATGTTCACGATTAATAAAACAATAGCTATAATTATTGGTTCTAATGTGGTAAACCCAGTTGGTAATTCAAATAATGATTCATCAATTCTTTGTAAATCAGCACTCATGAATGAAATGATTCGACCACTTGGATAATGGAATCTTGTTTCGGCATTTGCAATCAAAGATTTTTGAATTAAAGCTTTTGTTAATATAGTTCTTGAATGACCACCAACAAATTTTGAATGTAATAGAGATTGATTCATAAAAATTGCAGAAAACATTAACATAAATGTAATACCAAATGCATAACCAATACCTTTATTTATAGGAGTATCTGGTACAAGCGCCTTTTCACTAATAAAACTAATTAATTTTTTAGACACAAGAGGTGTAAATGCACTTAATGCATTTGATATAATTTTAGTTACAATAGCAACGGTATATTCATATTTAAAAGTTTTCATCAAAGCCATAAAGATAGCAAATCTTGGGAAAGCATCAGGATTTTTAATAGGATCATGCTTAGCATCAAATTTTAACCATTCTTCATTTAAGTGTTTTTCAAATTTAATATAAACATGGTCTATCGATGTATGTTCATCTAATTTCCATAAATCTTCTTGTTGTAAAGTTCTTTTATAACCTTTAAATAATAATGGTAATAACCAAGCGAATAAAGCTTTTGAGAAAATATTTGTATGATAGAATGGGAATCTTGTTCTTTCAGATTCTTGAGGTATTGGAGGAACATATTTTGTTAATAATGGAGTTAATAATCTCTTCACAGGTCTTGGTTGTTGAATATGAGCATTTGATTTCTCAAGATCTTGATAATCATCTTCGTCTTTCATTGAGGTGTTTGAAGACATGTTGACCAGCACCAATAACCAAACAAAAACTAACAACTAATCCAATAAATCGCCACTGTCCTTTATATAAAGATCAAATTTTATTGTTTACAGCCTAAATTTATATTTATATTTACTTTTACTTTTTTGCTCAACGGAATTAATGCGCTTTAAATCCATTGACATTAAAACATTTCATTTCGTACGATAATTTAGATCAACAACATCAGCTTATGTAACAAATAACAGAGGCAATAATCTACACAGAGAATAGTCCAAATGATGTCTATTATTCCAACTAAATGTCTATATTGACTCTTTATCTCATAATTATCCCACTTAAATCCCACTTAAAAGGCCTATTCTCAACCATTTTCAACGCCTCTAAATTTTGCCTATCTTACAGCTGAATTTCCAACTGACGTATATTCTGATGACATAAGCGCCATTTTCTTTTACTTAACGGAGTCTCGGAGTTCTTAAAGATTCCGCATTGTAAAAGTATATACGAGATATTTAAAAAAAGCTTGTTTTTCGAAAAGTTTATTTTGAGTTAAGCTATACAAAATCATTATAATTTAAATTAGAAGCTTCACACATTTCTCTGAAAATACCACGTTTTTGGAAAAGTTTTAATGGCTTATCAAATTCTTCCAATTCACCTTTCTCCAAAACTAAAATCTTATCATATCTAATAATGGTTTTCAATCTATGAGCAATACATAAAATGGTACAATCACTGAATTCCCTTGCAATCGTTTCTTGAACTAATGAATCAGTTTTATAATCAACACTTGATGTGGCTTCATCCATAATTAAAATTTTGGAACGACGAACCAATGCCCTGGCTAATGCTAATAATTGACGTTCTCCTAATGAAAAATTTGAACCTTCATCTTCAACAACACTATTTAAATGAAATTTACTATATTCATTTTCATTTTCATCCTTTAATTTAATCATTTCATCAAATGTTATTAATCCACTTCTTCTTAAAGCATCCCATAATTCAGATTCTGTACTTTCATTAAATGGATCTAAATTTTTCCTTATATTACCTTGGAACAAAACAGGATCTTGTGGAATAATTGATAATTTTGATCTTAAATCATGTATCCCTAATTTACTTATATCAACACCATCAATAAATACTTGACCTTCTGAAAATTCTGCAATTCTATACAGTGCAACCATCAATGAACTTTTACCTGCACCTGTTCTACCACAAATACCAATTTTTTCACCTTTCTCAACATTAAATGATAAATTTTTCAATATTAATGGTAAATCATCACGATATTTAAAAGATAAATTTTTAAATTCTATGGAACCTTGTTCTGGCCATGTTGGTCTTGGTTGATAATCCAAAGTTCTATAAGCAGATTCTTGTTCCAAATTATTTGCATAATGACAAACTCTTTCCACTGAGTTCATTTCATTTTCAACTTCAGCATATGCAACTAATAAAGCTGATAAAACAGCTGATAAATCAACCATATAGTAAGTTAGTAATCCAACAGATGATGCATTAATATTGAATTGACCAGTTACTGAAAGAATAGAAACAATGAAAACTAATCCCCCAGCTAAACAATCTAATGCAACACTTATCCATCTTTGATTTGATAAAACAACAAAATAAACTTCATTTAATCCATCAACAAATTTATCATTTTTTCGGATAAATCTCTCCTGTGCTCCATATGCCTTTATAGTATTTAAACCATTTGTAACTTCATTAAAATTATTATAAACAAATGATCTATTAATAGCTTCTAATCTTTTAACTTCTCTTGCTGATGCTTGATAAAAATTTGTTATACCAATGAAAAAAATTGCTAAAAATGGTACTGCAATTGCAAACCATGGTAAATAAATTATTGCCAATATTATAATACCCATAATATAACCTAAGAAATGTAGGAAAAGTTTTAATTGTTGACCAATTTCATTATCTAATGAATTAGTATCTTTGGAAAATCTATTCAATATACGACCAATTGGAGTTGTATCTATAAATTGCATAGGGGTATGTAAAATTCTCTTCACAGCTTTTAAATTTAAAATTTTAGAAGCTTCAACAAATATATACCCCATAATGAAAAGTTCCAGAGCATTTGCGAAAACACTAAATATGGTTAATCCAATATAAATACCAATATATGATCCATTAGTTAATGAGGAAAATTTCCGGGAAACCCAAAATGAAAGCCAAACATTTGCAAATAATGTTGAAAAAACTGCAATTGCAATACTTAAAATTGTTATCGGAACTGCTGTAAATTTTAATATACCTTGACCTGCTAAAACATATTGTTTGTAAATTATTAATGGTATACTATTATAAACACGTTCTTCTTCTGAACCTAATACACCATCTGTTTGGGGTTTCCTATCTTCAATACTTGTAACTTTGGTTATTTGATCATTTGGATCTATACCAAGTTTAGCTTCAGTTTCACGTTCTTTATTAAATTCCATTAATGTAACAAATTGTGGGTTTTTCAATCTTAATTCACTTTCAGTACCTATATCAATAGTACCATCCCCTTTCAAAAACACAACACGATCAGCTTTATTTATTAATGATAATTGATGTGATGCTAAAATTCTTGTCTTGTCTTTAATATAACCTAACAAGCAATTATCTATAATATGTTTACCAACATTTGCATCAACTGCACTTAAGATATCATCAAATAAATAAACATCTCTATTTGTATATATAGCCCTTGCTAAATTTATACGAGCTTTTTGTCCACCAGATAATGTAACACCTCTTTCACCAATTTCAGTTAAATCACCAGCTGGTAATGCCTTAAAATCTGAAGTTAATGCACATACATCAACAACTTTATTATATTTAACAAGATCATATTCTTCACCAAATAAAATGTTTTCTTTAACTGTTGTGTTTTGAATCCATGGTTCTCCACAAAGTAAATGTGATCCTTTAATTGATACTGTACCTTGGGTTTTAGTCATGAATGAGGAAATTGCAGATAATAATGATGATTTACCTGAACCAACTGAACCTGTAATCACAATGAATTCACCTTTAGAAATTGTTAAATTAATTCCATGTAATTTATTTGTATTAACAGAAGTTTTTTCAATTGTTTGTTCATCTTGGTGTTTTTCCACAGTTTTTTGTTCTTGATTGATTTGCTTCTTGCCTAATAATTTCTTATACCATACAATTTTTGGAGTTTCATCTTCTTTTAATTCTTCAAATTGAGTCCATTCAAATTCACCATCAATAATTTTAACAACATCATTTGATTCATTTGTAATTAATTCATTATTATAAAAATCCTCTTCTCTTGATTTTTCAACTGGTGATTGGAAAAATTTAGTTAATCTATCAACTGCAGTAAGACCATCAGCACATAATGATAAAACTAATGGGAAATTTGTAACCTGGATAGCCAACACAGTGAATAAAGTTAATGATGCAAAGATATTTGCTGGGTTACCATGGTTCCCAATTGCATAAAGTACCAAGAATGCACCCATTGATGTTATTGATGAAGAATTGAATGCAATGGTCATTAATATATTTAAAGTCATTTGAAATTTAAAAACATAAGATGATTCTTTATCTCTAACTAAAGTAATTGATTTTTCATATGCATCTTCCCATGAATAAAATTTAATAATTTTCATTGATTGTAAAACTTCTCTCATTATACCAACTCTTTCATCTGTGAAAACATTTGCTTTAATTCTATAAGCAACCATACTTTTTGAAGGTATAGTCATTATAAATAAAATAACAAGGAAAATAGCTATCCCAACTAATGCAACAACACCTAAATTAACAATTAAAAGTACAACACCAATAATAATAGGTACAGGGAATGCCAATGCAATGGGGAAAATACCAAATGCTAAATCAATTCTTGATAAATCTGCACTCATAAATGAAATAATTTTGGAAGGTGGATAATGATATCTTGTTTCTGCATTAGCAATAAATGAATGTTCTAATAATGCTTTTGTTAAAATTGTTCTTGCATGACCACCAACTAATTTTGAATATTCAAATGATTGATTCATTATAATAGATGAAAGCATTAACATTAATGTTAATCCAATAGAATAACCTATACCATCATTCATTTTAGTATTGGGGAAAAGTGCTTTTCTTTCAATAAATTTAATTAATTCTTTAGAAACTATTGGAGAAAATGCTCCCAATGCATTTGCAATTATTCTAACAATTAAAGAGACTGTATATTCCCATTGGAAAGTTTTCAATAATGCAATAACTAATGCAAATCTTGGAATTTCTTTAGAATTTGGATTTTTCAATTGATGTTTAGTTATAATTTCTTCAAAATGGAATTTATATTTAGAATAAACATAATCAATTGAAGTATGTTCATCTAATTTCCATAAATCTTGTTGTTGTAAAGTTCTTTTATATCCATTTTTCAATAATGGTAATAACCAAAGAAATAAACCTTTTGAAATAAAATTTGAGTGATATAATGGGAATGGTTTCCTATCTGATTCTTGAGGTATTGGAGGGACTGTCTTGGATAAGAATGGTGTAAATAATCTTTTCACTGGTTTTTGAGGTACTTCCTCTATATTATATTCAATGTCTAGATCTTTATCTGTAAATGATACGGCTGAAGACATAATTTATACTATAATTGTTTATGAAACCTTATAAGCTAATATAAGAGTAAACCATACCAAATATTAAGGGATAATTCATGTGTATTTAAACAGTTTTAATTAAAGTCAAGATTATCTTTTCAATCAGTTGAAATTTTGGAAATTTATGCAGGTATTGAACGGAGACGCATTAAAATTTGATGAGTATACAGCTCATTGGGTATTAATGTTTAACTTAACATTGGAAATACACGGAATTTTAAAGGTTTGCAGCAAAGAAGAAGCTGAAACCCATGGAGGTCTGCTCATACTGAATGAGATCTGTTCATATACCTATCTTATGGTCTAATCATCTTCTATCTCTTTGTCTTCAACTTCAATCACTTCAATTCATCCATCATCAAGTTTGCCCTTTTTCCATTTGTTTTTTTCAAAACTGGTACAAAAATCTCAATCGCACACCAAACAATGGATTTGCCGGATCTGAATCCCAAACAGGAAATGAAGTGATGAGTTTGAACAGATTCGTAGTAATGAACCCATCAAATGTACAAGTTGATCAATTAGATAAATATATAATCTCTTGGTATACGCGTGTCTTATTGTTCTCGTGTTGAGGGTTTTGGGTGTTCTTGTCTTGTTTTTACAGCCTTTAAAAGAGGTTGATAAAGGGTTCAACGGGTTTATGATCAAAAACTTTTAAAAATAGAGGATATCCATAAACTTTGAAATTAGCTCTGTTATAGAAGTATGTCATCATGTCATCTACTATATATGTTTTCCTCGAATAGTTTATCAATTGAGCTGTTCAGTTTTGAATTGCAAAAGCATTTATGTTACTTTTATTTTCATGGATCATATCAGCTTTGACTGCACTTAAGACACATGAATCCCCAATATTATTAATCATGATATATTACTGATAAATATAGACTTAAACTCATACATTTTTTTCCATATGTATTGCATACTAAGTTCCAAGCACTCAACAAAATAAAAAGTATAAGCTAACTATATTTCTTGTATAATATCTCGGTTTTAGTGGAATTGACACCAAATGAGGAAGGTGAACACCGATTTTTTAAGTTCATCAAAATATAATTAATAAACTTATGATTTTTAATTGAAAAATATGATGATTACGATTGTCTTGCTCATTTTCATATTATTAGATCAAAATAATTGTATTTTTCGTAAAAAAATAATTTATATAAAATATATAATATTTAGTATGATTTCAAATTATCAATTTTGATTTTAAATTTAAAAAGTAACATGTTGGTAAAATTATGAATTATAAATTATTAAAATTTTAATTATAATTTATAAATATTTATAAATTAAATATCAGATAATTTAATTCGGTTATATAAAGAGATCGTGTATATACACATAATATATCATACATAATGATCAGATATTATACTTCAAATTATTAATTCAATCAATTAAATTGATATAAATATTAAATTCTTAAAAATTCTTATAAATTAATGGTATTACATAAGCAAAAACAAATCATGTTCGGCGAAAATATGTGTCAAATTTTATCAAATCAACAATTTTACAAACTTGAGTACGTTCATTAATTTAAATGATTTTACCAATATTATGGATCATTGAGAATATCATGAGCATACTAAGAGCTGATATCTTAATTTATCTTCATGATGATCATATTCTACACTTTATTTACCAAGTCTTTAACTGTGTTGTGGCTATTGTGGCAATTAAAAGTGGCTCATTTAAAGTTCAAGCCACTGTCATATTTATAAAGAGAATACTCTACGATAAATAATTTATTCAACACCAAGTAATACGAATATACAAGATCTATGAATAAATTGACAAGAGAATTCCGAAATATGAAGCAGCCAATTTTTCTGTCTTTGATTTTTTTTTCTTGAGTATCAAATCACAAAATCAAAACCATACACTTAGAAAACAAGTTACAACCAGTACATTAATAGACCATTACTCTTATCATAAACAATAATTCTGTATATTATTTCCCACCAGTATCAAATAATTTGTAAATCAATGACTTCACCAGCCAAAAGTGGCCAGTAAAATTTTATTGTGGCGAGTGCTCATCTCACGTGATCTGGTGTTATAATCAATCTATAATCTTTTGGACGAATTTTCATTTAAAAACGTTTTAAATTCTAGTAATATTTTAAAATCTTGATTTGATCTATATAATTGATTAGTTCATTAACAAATATAATATTCAAAATGCCTGCTCCTCACGGTGGTGTCTTACAAGATTTAATTTCAAGAGATTCTCATAAAAAAGATCAACTTTTACAAGAATCTGAAAAATTACAATCAATTACTTTAAATCCTCGTCAATTATGTGATTTAGAATTAATTTTAAATGGTGGGTTTTCTCCATTAACTGGATTTTTAACTCAAAAAGATTATGATGGTGTTGTTGAAAAATTACATTTATCAAATGGTCTTGTATGGTCAATCCCAATTGTTTTAGATTTATTTAAACAAGATGCTGCTAAATATTCAACAGGTGAAAGAGTTACTTTAAGAGATGAAGATGGTTATGCTTTAGCTATTTTAACCATTGCTGATATTTATCAACCAGATAAACAAAATGAAGCTAAAAAAGTCTTTGGTGGTGATCCAGAACATCCAGCTATTAAATATTTATTTGAAACTGCTGGTGATGTTTATATTGGTGGTGAATTAGAAGCTATTAGATTACCAATTCATTATGATTATACTGCTTTACGTAAAACTCCAAATCAATTAAGAGATGAATTTAAATTGAAAAATTGGGAAAGAGTTGTTGCTTTCCAAACAAGAAATCCAATGCATAGAGCTCATAGAGAATTAACTGTTAGAGCTGCAAGAGAACATACTGCTAATGTTTTAATTCATCCAGTTGTTGGTTTAACTAAACCAGGTGATATTGATCATCATACAAGAGTTAGAGTTTATCAAGAAATTATTAAAAGATATCCAAGTGGGTTAGCTCAATTATCTTTATTACCAATTGCTATGAGAATGGGTGGTCCAAGAGAAGCTGTTTGGCATGCAATTATTAGAAAAAATTATGGTGCTACACATTTTATTGTTGGTAGAGATCATGCAGGACCTGGTTCAAATTCAAAAGGTCAAGATTTTTATGGTCCTTATGATGCTCAAGAATTAGTTGAAGAATTTAAACATGAATTAGGTATTGAAGTTGTTCCATTTAGAATGGTTACTTATTTACCAGATGAAGATCGTTATGCACCAATTGATACTATTAAAGAAGGTGTTAAAACTGCAAATATTTCAGGTACTGAATTACGTAAAAGATTAAAAGATGGTTCAGAAATTCCAAGTTGGTTTTCTTATCCAGAAGTTGTTAAAATTTTAAGAGAATCTCATCCTCCAAGACCAAAACAAGGTTTTACTTTATATTTAAATTCTTCAATTTTATCAAATGCTTTATTAGCAACTTTTAATCAATTTGGTGGTAGACATTATACAATTTTAAATAAACAATTTTCATCACCTTTTATTGCTCATGAATTAACAAGATCAGGTGCTGGTACTATTATCTTGAATGAATCTGGTGATAATAAACAAGTTGATCAATATAAAAAAGAAGTTTCAAAAGCTGGTACTTTTATTACTATTAATGATGAATCTGATAAAATTCAATTTGAAGATTCAGAAATTTCAATTGATTTATCTGGTAATCCATTAACTGCTGTACAAAAAATTGTTTTATATTTAGAAGAACAAGGTTTCTTCCGTTTCTAGATTATAACATATATATATATAGACTAGAGTAATTATATTTTAATGTACAAATTTTTAATTTATTAAATTTATGTAAATTTTTTTTCTATAAATATCCTATACAAACATTTCTATATTAAAAACCTGGGTTGTTAATATAAGTTTGAAATTTTTTAATAAATGCATTAGCTTTTGCTTCAGAATCAGAAATTTTTGGATTTGTTGTAACTTTAATTGAAACTGTTGGATTTGAAATTGTTGAATTATTAAAAGAAGATTTTGATTCAACAAAATCTAATAAATCTGAAACATTACCAAATGATGAAGTTGGTTGAGCAGAACCTAAATTTAAATCTAATTTAACATTAAATCTATCTAAATTAGTTGGTAAGGCAATTAAATCTTCAAAAACAGAATCATAATAATCACTTTCAATAACTTGTTTTTGATAAGCAAATTGTTGTGCACGAGTTGAAGCTTCTTCAATATATTTTGTTAAATCAAATTGAATACCATTTGCTTCACTAAATTCAGAAGCTTGTAATTGTAATTGAGATAAATCAAAAGTTTGTTGAATAATTTTTGGTTCAGGTTTTGGTTTTGATTGTTTTTTAGAATCTTTTGTAATATCTTTTTCTGCAGATTGTTTTGGTTGTATTTGTAATTTTTCAATATTTGATAAATCTAATTTAGAATTTGATTGAATAAAACTTGCAACTTTTGAAACTGAATCTTTTGTAATTTTACCTAAATAAGCTAATACATCACCTTTTACTAAACGACCATTTGGACCTGTTGCTTGAATTTTTTCAAATGCTTCATCTTTAGAAATATTATTTGATTCTAATAAAGATGCAACTGATGGGAATAAGGTTTGTTTTGGATCAGCTTTTGTTGATTCGAAACTTGATGATGATGATGATGATGATGGTGGTTTAGATGGTGTTGATTCTTTCTTTGGAGCTGGTGATTCTTGTTTTTTTGGTTCTTCTTTTGGAGCTGATTTACCTTCAGTTGGAACTTCTGGTAAATTTGATAAATCATCTTTAGTTTCTGCAAGAATAGCAATTGGAGTACCAACAGCTAAATCTTTTGTACCATTTTCTTTAATAATTTTAGCTAAAATACCATCATCTTGAGCTTCAACATCAATTGTGGATTTATCAGTTTCAACTTCTAACAAGATATCACCTGAAGCAAATGAATCACCTTCTTTAAATTTCCATTCAACAATACCACCTTCATTCATAGTTGGTGACATTGCAGGCATATTAAAGAATTCAGCTTTTAATAATGAATTTGAAGAATGAAGACATCTTCTTTGAGCTTGACGTAAATTAGAAACAAAAGTTTTAGAGGTAAGACGAAGCATTTCTCAATCTTTATTATGTGGTTTATATGAATATTTAAATTTAATTGATACCTTTAAAATCAATTGTATTGTATTAATTTAATCAATGTTGATATTCGGAAACCTGTTCTACTTTTTTTTTTCGATTTCCACCTGATGAACCCCCACTAAAACAGATTCCCACGGGAATTCCCTATATGGTAGACTGCCCGATTGGGTAATTTTATGAGCTTTAAAAAGACCGTTTTACGTCAATTTTTACAAATTATTAAGTAATTCATACGTATTTAAATCATCATTAATCATCATTAAAATATAAAATACATTATTGTTTCCTTTGGTCATGTGTAAAAGCTGATTGAGTTGCACCTGCTGTTGCAATTGCAAAATTAGTTTCATTTTGGGCAAAATCTGGATTATTTTCTAAATCTGAATGTGAATGTGAATGTGATCCAATATTTCTTAATTTATCATCTTCTTTCTTTAAAGATATCAGTTCAGTATCTATGGGAACAGGGATTGATAAGTTAGTATTATTTGAATCTTTTAAAGTTTTTTTAATAATTTTAGAAGGTGGATTATTATTATTATTATGTTGTTGATGTTGATGTTGTTGGTGATGTTGATGATTTATTGTAGATCCTGTTACTTCAATAGGATATTTTCTTGGTCTACCTTGAGGTCTTTTAGCTTTTGGTTTTTCTAATGGATATTTTCTTGGTCTTCCAGGTGGTCTTTTAACATTTAATTGGAAAACATATTTCCTATCATTTGAATTTATAAATTGTGAACCATCTTCATTATGATTAAAAGTTTGTTCTATAATAACAGATTCATTATTCCCCAAGTGATCACCATTCCCCTGGATTAATTGACTTCCAACTTTAAAAGTTGGTTTCATTCTTGATTTTTGTTTATGCATTGAATTTGGTGAATTATTAACAAAACGGAATGCTTTAGTTTGATTATTATCATTCTGTATATCTTGAAATGTTGTATTGTTGAACTTTGTGGTGGTCGTAGTTGTTGAAGTAGGTGTAGTTGATTTTGAAGTTGATGATCTGGATAGTTGACTTGTTGTTGTTGTAGTAGTTGTACTATTTGTAACTTTCGGTATAGAATGTCCTTGTCTTTGTTGTTGCTTTTGTTGTTGCTGTTCTTGTTGTTCAGCAAGGAATGCCTCTTCGATGTTCAGAGATCCAGTGTCCATCTCCAAGATCTCGTTGCTTAGGTTTTCATTCAGTTCTGTTTCCATATTTTCTTTAGTTTATGTGTTAGTAGTGTCACAAAAACATCAACAAACATATGAACTCTGGACTTTGGACTCTGAGCTCTGTCCATACAATCCACACACACATATATATGATCATACTCACTGATTACTTCTTTGATATAAAACAGAACACAATATTAAAAGTATGAAATATTCTGTTTTTTCTTTAGATTTCAATTTAAAATTCAGTTTATTTGGTATTTTTTAAATTTCTTTGATTAAAAAAAAAACATTGCGAAATGTCCGAAAAAGGAAATTCGTGGTGCGAACCAGAGCTCATCGCTATTAGGAAAAAATTTATTTCAATATTAAACCATAAGGTACAAAAGATATTGTTTTAATTTGATTTGATTTAGTAATTATAAAACTTTGGATATAATATGGGTAAAAAAAGAGCTAGTAGATTTGTTGAAGAACAAAGAAAAAAAAAGAAACAAGAACAAGATTCTCTTTTATCAGTTGGGATTGCAAATTTAGCTAATAATGCTAATCATAATGTAAATGATTCTGATGAAGAACAAGATTATGAATTAAAACCAAGATCATTAAATGAAAAAATCGAAGATTATGGTGCTCTTCCCATCAAGAGAGGTGGTAAGATTGAAAGAGTTGTGAAAATAGCTGAGGAAGATAAAGATGATGAAGATGATGAATCTGAATCTGAATCTGAAGAAGATAAAGAAGAAGAAGAAAATAATCAAGAAGAAATACAGAAACAACAAGAACAAGAAGAAGAAGAAGAACCTGACACAGAGGAAAAAATTTTAGCTTTAAAAGAAGAAATTGCTGAAATTGTCGGTAAATTAATGGAAGAACCTGAAGAAAATATTAATATGCTTACAAGATTATTACGTATGGCTCAATCAAAAAATCCAAATACTTCAAGATTTTCTTTATTAGCTTTAGTTCCTGCTTTTAAAAGTATAATACCTGGTTATAGAATAAGGCCATTATCTGATCATGAAAAAGCTGAAAAAGTTTCAAGAGATATTCAAAAATTAAGAAATTTTGAACAAACTTTAATTATAAATTATAAAAATTATATTGATTTATTAAGTGAATTAGCTAAAAATGCTAAAAATGATTTTAAAATGGCCCAATTTGCTGTTAAAGCTGCATGTGAATTAAGTTCTTCTTTTAGTGATTTCAATTATAGATCAGATATTTTATTAATTGTTATTAGAAGAATTTGTAAACCTTCACCAAAAAATGATCCAATTTTCCCTAATTGTATTAAAACTTTAGAAGTTTTATTAAATGAAGATGATGCTGGTGATATTTCATTTGATATTATTAGATTATTAACTAAAACTTTAAGATCAAGAAAATTTAAAGTTGATGAAAGTGTTATAAATATTTTCCTTTCTGCAAATATTTTAAATGATTATGATCCAAATGCATCTGAAGAGGAAAAGGCTGAAAAATTAAAATTAAAGAAAAAAGATAGAGTTCATTTATCTAAAAAGGAAAGAAAAGCTCGTAAAGAAAGAAAAGAAATTGAAGAAGAAATGAGAAAAGCTGAACAAGCTGTTTCTGCTCAAGAAAGAGAAAAATTTCAAGCTGAAATTTTAAAATTATTATTAAAATTATATTTAGATGTCTTAAGAGAAAATTCACAAAAATTAATTGCACCTGTATTGGAAGGTTTAGCAAGAATTGGTCATATGGCAAATTTTGATTTATTAGGTGATTTCTTGGAAGTTATTCGTGAAATTATTAGAGATATACAAACTAATGATGAAGGTATAGGTCATGATGAATCTCGTCATATTTTATTAGCTATAGTTACAGCTTTTGCATTAGTTTCAAATCATTCTCAATATAAAGTTCAAGTTGATTTATCAAGTTTTGTTGATTCTTTATATTCTGTTTTATATCAAGTTTCATTTGATGCTGATATTGAATTCTCTCATAAAACTTTAAGATTAGCAGATCCATTAAGTAATGATTTTAAAAAACCTTCAGTTAATGTTTCAACTAAAATTGAATTATTATTAAGAGCTTTAGAAAATGTTTTTTTCAAATCTAAAAATGGTTCTAAAATTAGAGCTTTAGCTTTTTCTAAAAGATTAACAATGATTTTATTAAATACACCTGAAAAATCTTCAATTGCAATTATAAAATTTTTAGAAAAATTAATGGCTAGATTTTCAGAAATTGGTGGTATGTTTTCCACTGAAGATAGAATTGCAAATGGTAGATTTTCAATGGAAACTGATATTTTAACAAGATCAAACCCTGAAGCTGCAACTATTTATGAAGTTTTATTATTAGAAAAACATTATTGTCCAATTGTTTCAAAAGGTGCTAAATCATTATTATCACGTTCAAAAGAAAATTAATGTACTTATTACTAAAGGAATTAATAATATATATAGTCATAATTATAATGTACATATATTTAAAAACATTATAAATATTAAATTTGATTAAAATTGTAATCTCTTATAATTTTAACATTGATGAACCTTGTTTAGTTTGATCTTTCTTCAATGCACCAGAAACATCTCTCTTTTCACCTTTATCATTAATAATAGTAACATTATTAGCTTTAGATAAAGTATCAATAACATTTTGTTTTTTAGATTTTTTATTAGATTCTGGATCTTGATTTTGAAATTCTTTTGATCTTTTTCTTTTATTAGCTCTTCTAAGTCTTTGTTTATCTTCTCTTGATAATTCATCTCTTGCAAATACAGTACCTGATTTAAGTTGAATTTCATTTTCATTACCTGATCTTTTGGTATTGAAAATTTCTTGTGGTGCTAATGTATTAGCGTTAGATTGTGTTAATGGTTGTGCATCTTCCATTGAAATAGATGGTGTATTAACTTTAATATCAATAGATTTTTGTGCAGGTTTCGGTATGAAATGTGCTGAACATAATGAATCTAATTTATGTGATAATGTTTGATATAAATTTTTAATTTCATCATGAGATTTTTTTAATTCTTCAGATGCAGCAGATGATGTATCAACTCCTTTATAATCATCTTCATAAAGTTCAGCTAATGATTTTGTTGATTTAGTTTCACTTAATTGGAAATCATGTGAAGGTCTAAAATTTGTAACATCTGTTATAACTCTTTTTGGTAAATCATCAAATTCATCATCTTTAATTCTTCTTCTAATTAATTCTTCAATTGATTCTGTAATTTCTTGTGTTATAACTGGAACTGGTTTAGCATTACGTTCAAATTCTAAATCTTCATCTAATAATGAATCAACTGGTCTATCTTTTGATTTTGATTCACCTTTTAATGCCCATTTTTTTTCTGCAATAGATTCAGATTCTAATTGTTGAATTTCCTTTTGAATAGATAATTGTTGACGTTCAAAACTTGATAAATTTTCATTTTTTGCACTTGGTTTATCATCTTCAAATATATCAAACATTGCTTTTTTCATACCTTGATCATAATCTTCTTCTTTTAATTCTTCATCTTCTTCATCTTCAATTTTATCTTCTTTAGAAGGTTTTTTAGATTTTGATGATTTTTTATCAAATTTTTTACCTTTTTGATTACCTGGTTTAGGGAAAAAATCATTATAATATAAAGTTTCTTCATCTTCACTATCAGAATCTGGAATATCTTTAAAATAATCAATTTCTTCATCATCTTCACCAGCACCATTGTTTTTTTCTTGTTCTAAAATTTGTTTATTGAAATCATCAATGGAGAAAAATTCGTCATTTAACCCAAATGCATCCTTCTTTGGTGCTTCACTTTCACCTTCTTGTTCTTGATTGTCTAATTCATCTTCTTGTTCTTCATCTTCATCTTCTTGTTCTTGGTCATCATCTTCTTCACCAGATTCTTCAAAATCATCAACTAATTCACCATTTTCATTCAATTGTTCTTCTTCATCTTCATCACCTTCACTTAAATCTTGTTCATCAGAATCTTGTTCTGATTGTTCTTCTTCAAGTTCAGAATCTTCATTACTTTCTTGATCAATAGAAAGAATTTTATCTTTAATAGCTGGAATTTTATCAAATAGTAAAGTTTCAGTAGTGGAATCTAATATAAGTTTAGCTTGAGACCATACTTGAGAAGCATCAAGTCCTTCAATAAAGATTTCATTTAAAACTGAATTACCTTGAGCTATTGGATCCAATAATTCTTTTATAAGAGCTAAAACTTCTGTATTTTCAAAATCTTTATCCAAGATCTTGACTGGATCATTCCCTAGATCTTTTATTATACTTGACATGGTTTGAAAAAGTATATGACTTGGTAATTTTATCTTAAAACTTTACTATTTTTTTTAATATATTGTAATTTTTTCTTTGAGATGAGCTCTTCTAAAAATTTTTGTATACGTTAATTTTCATCCGGTAAGGGAAGCACCATACATAAAATTATTGGTAGAGCCACGTTATTGAAGCATATAATCATATTCAATTTTAACAAATTAATATAATCTAAAGATATTTATTATTTATAATAGTACAGGCTGATCTCACGTAGATAATTAATTAATATTTAAAATTTTAGTCTTATAATCTTTACATTATATATTATAATTTAATTTTGATTTTCATGATTATTTATATTAATAATTAAAAATTAATATA